AAAAAATAAATAAAATTATATATAAAAATTATTTAACGCTAATAATAATATATACAATATAATTTTCAATAAAAAAATACAAATTTTTTAAAATTAAAACTCAGATATTTACTTAATGTTAGATGGTCTGAGAATTTCAATTCTTTTTCAATATTCAGAGAAACTCGAGCGACTTCTTGATCTAATAATCATCTAGACAATGTTGTTCTTGATGGAGGAGTGTATCTTGGATTAAGTTCTTGAAATAGATCACGAATAAAAGGGTTATCGATTACTTCAAAAGGAATTCCTGCCATTACCCATGCTTTCAGTAATGATCGGTCAATTCGCTCAGTTATAGCTAGTGGTAAAGGTTTATCTGAGCCAAAGTATTGAGTTATTTGATATTGTTTTAATGGTGGTTGAATTATGGTTTTTTATTTACGAGTATAATTTGTTAATTTAGTAGAAAGTTTATCTCGCCAAAATTTGCTAATGTCTTCAGGACATTGCAAGCATTCATTAGAAAGGTGAGCTTTTAAAATTCCCGGTTTACCCCTTTGCCATTTCTTTTCATAATGATAACAAGTAGCAGGATAGTATCTGTCATTTTTTTCATCGTCTACGATAAAATATTTCCATACTTCATCTCTTTTAGGACCACCCTTTTTGATTGTTTTTTGTCGTTTTGATGTATTTTCAGTATTACTAACATGCTTATTATTTTTCTCCATAGTTAATTTGAATGCGACGAATGAAAAACACATTATTAAAAAAAATACGAATTTAAAAAAATTTTACATTTTTATTTTTATATTTGAACGGGTTGAATAAGTTTGAAAAAATTTGAATATTTTTTTTTCTATTGATCTTTTTATAATAATTCATATGCTTACTGTTATACTAACTTTTTATAGAATCTACCCGTGGTTTATGATTAATTACAATCAAATAGCAAATGGTTACAACAATAGTTACGGCAAATGACGATAGTTATGGTAAATGATACTATTTACAGCAAGTAACACTGTTACAGCATCTGGCAGTACCGTATTGCCATATTCTTTTAACTCTAATAGTTATAACCCTATAGTACCGATATGTCTACACCCTTATTAAATACCAGAGAAACCTTATTTTAAATATATCATTTATTTTTTTAAAATGTTATATTATGATTTATTTAAAAATAAGAAAATTTTAACTCAAAAGTCAAAACAAATAGTAATTAATCTTATATTATATCTAACTTATCATGAATAGAAAAATATTCATGATATTATTATAAAAAGATTTAGAAATACTAAAGATACAAATATCAAATATTAATTAATTTATTAGATAATTTTATATAATACTTTTTAGAAGTAGATATTTTGAAGGATATTTAGAAAGTTTTATAAAATCTGGATATTATTTTAAAGATTAAGAAGACATAATTATAATAAAGCATCACTTATATTTTTAAGTAATGTATTTATTAGACATCAAAAAAACATCTAATAATTAATATTTTAAAAAATAATTTACTAATTTTTAATGAATTTTTGTTAAAAATTTTCATAGTTCTTTAAAATGTTAAATAGTGTTAACGTGTAATTCTTGCGAACTACGACTGTTAGACGGAGTGTTCGAGCGGTTTATTTTTTTTAATTGAGCAGTAATCTTTCAACAGTTTTACAAGCTTTAACTCAGACGATTTATCAAAGTATTTATATTATCAAAACGAGTTACGATTCAACAGATTTTCAGTAAATTATGTTTATAAATAATACGTTTATTTTCAAGTAAAATAATAATAAAGATAAAGAAAAGAAAAGTAAAAGAAATAAAGAAGAAAAATAAGAAAGAAAAGAAACGGA